TATAACGAGTTAATAATTTTCTGGTATTAAGATAAAATTTTGTGGACTGCCCTTATTCGCTAATTGAAAACTTATAACTTAAATGAACTTTCACTGTCAAAATTTATTGGATTACATTTTATTTTCTTCTTGCAAAAACTTATCAAGTTTTGAAAACCTTTGATTTAAATGTTCCTGTCGTAGACATTTCTTTCTTTCACTAAGTAAGCAACTAAATAATTCATTCAGCAATCTGTAGACAAAGTTATCTTGTCTACTCTAGATATGCATTTTAATCGTTTTCATTTCTAGTCAACCCTTTCATTCATAAAGTTATTACCATGAAGTCAATATTTAATAGATTCGAGTGAAAATCTTTCTCACTGTATGAATGGAAATCTAGAGATCTGAAGTAAACCAATTGAGAGTTTACACAATTGCTAAAACCACGTGTTTTATTTACAAAATACAAACTTATACTGCCATCTAGTTACTACTTTTAGAATTATACCAATCAATATATATGTCTACTCAATAAAGGTACGAAAAATTTAATACGAAATTTAACAAGTGAATATAAATCACAATAATAACAACGTATTTGATTTGTATATAGGGGAGAGTCGGGTAGCCCCGCCCGCAGTCAATTTCGTATGTATAGAGTATTTTTTCAAGTCAATGGGCCATCGGACATTAATTGTTGTATTAAAAAAAGATTATTTTCAAAGTTTCAAGTATTTATGCAGCTGTTAACATGGTAAACAATAGTTTTGAAAATATGTTTGTACACTTTTACCTATTGTTATAGAAAATTTCATTTCCCTCTTTCGAGATTTCATTCTAGAAGCTCGCGCTTGATTTGATGTCAAAAGTAAAACGAAAATAAGCAAATGAAATTAAATAAATAAGAGATAAGATTAGATGTTGTCAGATATCAATCGTAACATTAACATTGAAATTTTTACAATTATGAAAGACTTAACGAGGAAAAAAAAAAAAAACAATTTCCATTTCAAACTGTCTTATGGCACAAGGTTACTTTAGATATTGTTAATAACTAAAATTACTACTTTTTTAATACTTTTTATTCTGACACACATTCTGAGTTCTTAAGTTTAAGTATTTTTTTTCTTTAAGTGCAGTTGATAATTCTTTAAATCCGCCATTTCAACAACATTTTCTAGCCTTAAAATTATAACAATTATACATTTTACAAATAAAAGTATCTCACTGTTTTTTTTTTTTTT